CCGCAATCCCTTCTCCTCCATTCTCCTCTCGGGATCTTGGGCATGCACGCACACGCGCCCAGCGTGAGTTTAAGCCACCGGGTCTGGGACTCGAACCACGGTCGACTACATGGGAGTCCAATGACATAGCCATTATGCTAACTGCTGGTCCCGTTAACCTGCATTTTTAGATTTCTCTTGTTTTATTTTATTAATTGCCGCAAGGCATATGTGCTTGCCGAAAAGAGACAGAGATACAGAGAGAACGAGAGGGGGAGACCACTCTCTGATGGGGAATGGTCACACTGCAGTCCCTCTCCATCTCTCCGCCCTGTGGGGATTCGCCCATGCACGCACCCACGTGCACAGTGTGTTTTTCAAGCCACCAGGGCCAGGATTTGAACTGTGCTTGGCCATGTGGGATCCAGCTCCCTTAACCACCAGGCTATGGTGTCAGCCCTCTCTTGCCATTTTAAGCACATATTTGGACATTTCTCTTTATTAAGAGATAAAGTTAACAAAACAGAAGCAGAGGAAGTTGAAGCCCAGGGCCCTTCTACTTTGTAACCCTAACTTTTAAGACCCATCTTAACTCCAACTCAAGACCCAACTCCTGACTCTCCCACAAAGCCTTTCTCTCCCAAGGAGTGTCTGGGTTCACGCTTTTCTGACCCTCCAGGCAGTGTTCCAGCCCAAGTGCTGACACTGGACCAGCCGTCCCGCCCAACTGCTCTGTGTAGCACTTACCCTGACTTCGAGGTTGGGACAGAAAGTCCCTGGAGAGCTCGAGGAGGAAGGCTGTCCTCCACGGTGGTGCAGGCAGAACGCTTTGCAGTGTCAGGCATATACTAGTTGCTTAAAAAACACCTCCTGGATTGACCGGGGCTGGCATTATTCGGTCGTGCCCTTCCCAATCAGGACAACGCGAACGAAGGGCTCAGCCTTACCAGGAGCAGCTGCAACAGCAGCACCAGCAGAAGCAGCACGCGTTGGACCCCCGGTTGCCGGTTCCCAGCGGGCCCAGGGCGGAGCCTGGCGTCTCCGGTGTGGCAGGCGTCTGCCGCTTCCGCATCTCCACCCGTTCTGACCCCATGGGCTGCGACACAGAGAGCAAGGGGTGGGGTTACGAAGGCCGGAGCACAGGGATCCTGGTGTTCGGATCACAGATTAGCTGGGTCACCAATGCCAGGAAGATCTAGTGCTCAGACTCTTAGGCACATTAATTGACCAAACTTGTTTTTCTTTAAGAGAGATTTTTGCTATAAGGCATATGCACTCACCAGAGACAGAAAGCGAGAAATCACCCCCTCCCCCA